CTAGCTAGGGGTGAGACTGGGGGCAGCCTCCCCCACCCTCAGAGCCATGTGGAGTGCACGGCGTGGCGCTCTGGTGGCAATTTAAAGGGCCTGGGTCTCTGCCCACTGCCTCAGTAGCAGCAGCAGTGGCCAGGAGTTCCCAGGCCTCTTTTGAGTCGCTGGTCCCTGGGGTAATGGGCCCCCTTTGTACCGCCTCAGCCCCTGTTGGCAGGCCTGATTTCTACATGAGTTGCAGTCGTAGCCTCATACCTAGAGTGAGGGTGACTCGCATGCTGTGGCCTGTGTGTCTGATCCCGACCGGTACTGCCCATGTCTCTCTCTCTCATGCTCCAATCCAGCTCTACCCGTGGGCCTGGGGGCAGAGGCTAGTGCTGCAGCGAGGCCTTTTCCTTTCTCTTCCTGTCTGAGAGGTGTCTGCTCTGAACTGGGAATTCAGCGGCAGTGCAGAGAAGCTGGGAGGCTCCTGCCATTTGCCTCTTTGTACAAACTCCCCCTTCCTATCTCCTGGCTTCTGTTCTCTCCATCCCCTGCCCCAACAGGACTAATTTACATAGAGACAAGTCCCTTCCCAGCAAACACACAAACAGGCATCCCATTGTCCTCCAGCCAGGGTTGAGTTTCTGCCCCAGTTACAAATGCAAAGTTCCAGTCCCAGCAAAAGCCATCGCCCATCGGACCAAGGTAGCAGCCGGCAGGAGATAAGTGGAGTGGGTGGAGGAACCATGTTTGAAGCAGTGCATGCAGGGGGGAGGGAAGGTCCTTCTCCTGAGGAAGGAGCCACTGATGTAAGCTTCTCACAGCCCTTTGTGCCTTCCTGACAAGAGCCTTGAATGCCCTGCTGCTGTAACAAATGGCTCTGGGTACCAGCTTGGCTGCTCCTTGCAGTGGGGTGGAGTCCACTAGCTCCTTCCCCACCCTCCTAAAGTCTCCCTGCCATTCATGGCCACCACACATGCTAGCACTGCTTTTGTGCATAACCCTGATGGATACTTCCAATGTGATTGGGTATCCAAACGGGATATTAAGGGAACCATTGTGTTCCCCACATCAGCAGAATTATTGTCACTAACCTGCTGTGTATGTACGGTGGTGAAAATCTTTAGTACTCCCCTTACATGCCCTTGGTTCTCATGCTTGTGAAGGATGGTTCTGGGGATTTCTCTCCTCATGATGGATTTGTTCCTGATAGTTCCATGATTCCTGCCACAAGTGCTCACGGGTGTTCCCTTGGCAACCTTCTATCCCTGCTGAAGCCTGTTTGACATTCTCCATCTTGTGCCCCAATAGGACTAGTTGAAGTAGGGACAAGTCCCTTCCCAGCAAACACACAAACAAGTATCCCATTATCCTCAGGCCAGGGTTGAGTTTCTGCTCCAATTGTAAATACCAAGTTCCAGTTCCAGCAAAAGCCACCGAACCAAAGTAGCAGCTGGCAGGAGTTAAGTGGCTACAATTCCTAGGAAAGAATAAAGCAGCGAGTGACAGTTAAAAAGCATTCTGGATTATCTTTCCAATTATTACCCCGTCCTGTCAGCAGTCCTCCTTCCTCCCAGCACAGTTACTGCGGATTGCTTGTTTTTGCTTAAATGCCTTTCTCCCAGCACAGTTACTGCGGATTGCTTGTTTTTGCTTAAATGTGCATGCAATGTAATTTCCAGGGGTGGCTAGTTGCGTTGTCTAATACGCCTGTCTGTAGATATAGTGACTTAGAACGCACGGCAGATCTGTGCTTCTCAATAAACTTCAAGTGGCTGCCTGAAGTGAACACACAAATCCCTTGTGCTCTCAGATGGCAAGCAAATGGGCGACTTTGCAAATGGCATTTCACGCACAACCCTTTTGGCTACTTCAAAAATGAAACATCTTGTACTGGGTTGGCAATACTGCCCTCTACTGGCTACAGAGTAGTAGCGGCACAGCTGTATTTTTTCAGTTTAGAGAGAGAGGGTTAAAAAAAACCGACAAGTTACTATTCTGCACATCAATAAGGCCTTGTATTGGGGGATTTCTGCAAACGTTGCTGGCATGTATTGAGCCTCACAACCTTCCTGTGCAATGTAGAACATCTCTGTTTCACTGATGGAGAAATGGATAATGCGGAAAGATGAAGAACCTGCCCAAATTATATCTGTGATAAAGCTAGGACTAGAACCCAGGAATCCTGACACCCCGTTTTGTGTTCCAACTACAGGTGATCCCTGAGTTACGACTGCTCGACATATGACCCCCCCCCCCATTTACGACCATTTTTTTCCATGCGAGGTAGCTCCCCAAACCTCCCAATTTATGTCCGCAGTTTGCATTTACAACGGCATATGACTTAGGACAGTTCTCCAGGAACCAATTAGGTCGTAAGTGTGGGGGTTGCCTGTACTGGACTCTCTAGTGGAGGAGGAAGTGCTTGTTGTTTTCCAGCACATTATTGATCCTAATGATGGGTTAATCTGGCACCTCTATTCTTAATTCATGCTTCTGACTGTTTTTTCCAGAGTCATGCTGTTTGAAGGAAAAGCCAATGAAAACATCCCAAAGCCTTCTGGTCCGCCTCCAGAGAGAGATATCGCCAGCCTTCCTTAAGGTGATAGGCTGAGAGCCAAACCTGTTAGCATCATGGTGGTCTGTAAGGAGGGTTACCTGTTCTGTTACTTTTACGTTGGTCAGTCTTAGTGATAGAAACTAATCAGCCTTAGAAGAGGAATGACAAGGGAAGCCCAGGGACCCCCAGTCCACAGGTCGCCATCTCTTTGCTGCATCCCCTAACCAGTTTCATCTGTTTGAGAGACTCTGTAGCAAAAGTGTAACCGTAAAACCAAAAATAACTGCAACCCCCCCGGTGGTTCTCAGGTGAGAAATTGTTGATTGTTCTCTGTGGTCTCTAGCATGGATCTTTCAGCTACAAGGGGCTGCCTCCTTTTGAACAGTGGCTCAGAATCCACCTGTGAATCTGCATTCAGCACAGAGCATCCTCCAGTCACGCCCATGGGAAATGGACATGTCCTTAATATGGCCACATTGCTGTCTGTGCCCTGTGTGGCTGCTGTTGAGTTCTGTCCTGCCCTAACTAGTAAAGTGCCTTCTCTGCTTTACTCTACACACACCAGCTTCTGGCTAGTTCTGAAGTTGAACAGTAATTGTCCAGCCAAATGCAAGTACATCTTTCATCCTTGTGGTCTGCTCTCCTAGACAAGGATGGGAAGGCGGAAGTACATTTGAGACTGGCTGGTTGGGTCCTGCCCAGGCAGTTGAGGACTGCCCTTTGGGGACACGGTGGGGGAATGCTAGCCACTTTGGAGAAGGGCAAGTGGCTGCTGAGGCGCAGAGGCCTAGAGCCTGAAGAAGGAATTTTAGACACCTCCCCACCCGACCCACATACACCTACATCCCATTGAACAGTAGGGCCCAGTACCTGCTTCTCTGATTCATCCCTACAGTGTCAGGTCTGAGCCCAGTGCCTGCTGTTAAATTTCCCCAGTACACCTAGGACGTTCCTCCCTGTCCCAGTTCTGTTGCCTTTTTCGTGGCCAAAGTGGACCCCAGTTATAAATCCACACCTTCCCACCTGACCTGGCAGTGGGAGAGCTCCCCTTAGCTCTCCTGCCATGTGACCTCCTCTGTTTCCATGGTGCCTATAGCCTTGTGAATGATGCAGAAACTTCCTGTTTTACTGCTGGGATTTGACCTTGTGTCCTGTGAAGCTCATGAGCGGGTTAGAGGAGAAATTATAGTGTCGGGCTGGATATTTACATCCTGCTAAGGTAGGTTAAGAGGAAAGGTGAGGGAGGCCTGTGCATCACAGCCATTGCTGCGATACAGTAAATATCTGTGTGTTGCATCTTTTGGAGCTTTAAGTCAATACTCTAAGGATCTCTTTTTTAAGGTAAAGAACTGGCCTTACTGAATGCATGCTAGACACTGGCTATCCCAGGAGAATAAAATCAGACTTGAGAAACATTCAGTTCTAGGATCCACCGGATCTGGTGTCAAACTGGGATGGCTCTTTGGGTCTCTGGTGCCTTTAGTTGTTGATCAGGAACATGGAAGAAAGTTTCCCTGTGATTTCCTAAACTAGGGTGCAAATCCATGAGAGACTGTGAGCTCCTGGCCCTACTAAAATCAATGGGAATTTTGTTGTTGACTTTCTAATGAGGCCTGGATTTCCCCCCTCTGACTTGCAGTTCTAAGACACTGACATCCACCTTTATTTTGCCTGCCCAAGGTGTAAGATTAAGCCCCAAGTGCATGTCACAAGCAGTCTAAAAATGGGCAAGAATTGCCCTCACGATCACAATCGCAGGCCTCCAACCGGAAGATGATAAAGAACTTCCACCTGTGACTGGTGCAGGACAGACAGCAAAGTCCCCTGGAGGGTCCCTCTTGGATCAATAAGTCCTTGCCACTGTGGTCTCCTTTTTAGAAGCTAGAGAAACTATTCTGTTCTGTCATCTGTGGTAGAAGCTGTCAATTCATTGTCTGCTTATATTTATATAGTTAAAATGAAAACTACATAATATATTGGGTTTGTTTTCCTTGTAATGTGAATAAGTGGTTGGCTTCTGAAGCTTGCAGACTCCCTCTTCTCCAGTGACCAATCTGGTCAATTTCCCTAGACTAAATCCTGTTTTAACGGCCAGTTCCAAAAGCTGTTATCTTGCACCTGAAATTCTGGGGATGGTGGGAGAATGAGCCCAGCTATTTTGCTTTCAATTTTCACAGAAAAGGCCTGGGATATGCTGAATCTGTAGGTGTAGGAAACGGAACTCCAGTCTGAGTCCTTAAGCTGGACCAGAATGAATTCTGGATGAGTCTGTTTGTATTAATGCCCTCAAAATCTCCCAAATTAGGCCTTGTTCAACAAACATATTTCTTATATGCTTGAATTTACTCATATGAGGAGTCATTTGACTTCAGTGGGACTATTCCGTGACAAAATGGAACACATGAAAGGGTTGGGGGGGTTTTTTTGCCTTTTTTTTTTTTTTTTTGGGAACAGGGAGCTTTTCTCTCCCT